TTTTATAAAACTCATTGAAGCAAGAAGTTTGTTGATATAAAAAATTTTATCAATAATTTTTATCTTAAGATGGGTTTCATATCTGCAGATCAATAGCTATTTAATTTTACTAAAATCATTTGTATTCATATATAAGAATATATAGCTTATTTTAAATCGCACATTGAATTCAAAGAAGGAACTAACGTGGTAGTGTCTTCGCCACCTCCTTGAGAGCTAGTACTGAAGAAAATGCCTGTTGGTTTGCCTGTCGTTCTCTAGAATACTCTAGTAGAATCAAGAAACGCCTTAAATTAAGCACACATCATTCCTACCTCATCTTTTCTCTTAGAAGGTACATATTATATTTGAAGCTGATGAAACTGGAAAAAATATAAAGCAGAAAAGTCAAAAATCTAGAACTTTAACGATACTTCTACTAAACTAGCTACATTCTCGAGTATTCTACACTCTTGACTTGCATATCTACAGAAATCTATCTTAAAATCGCAAATGGGTTTGAGACCATTTTTTACCAATGAAAGAAAACATACCTGAAGTTTTGAATTGCAAATCGATTAATGGTTGTTGAAAGAAGAGAGTTGGAAGAAATTATGCTTTAGAATCATGTTTGAGTAAGTCTTTGTGCTAGGAATGAATTGAACTTTTTTGTTTGAATAAAGACCGATGTTCTGCAAAGGTGGAAGAGGAATGGATCTATAAAATCTTACTATTGAAATTAAAATTTGTCCTTTTTAAATGTGAAATTACATATTTGCCCTTCTTCTTTTGGAAATGAAATTTGTTCATTTGTTATTAATGTAAAATGACAAGTATACCTTGGTCGTCCTCTCACCACTCTTGTATATAGTAATATGATTGTTCTTTTTTAAATGATGGATCATATCATATCATATATCATATATTACTATAAATGGGACAAAAAAAAGTTAAAAGTTGAATAACGATTTTGCCCCGACTATCTATCTATCTATCTATCTATATAAATTATCTTTATTATAAATTAAAATGTTATAAAAATATTTAACCATTTAATTTAAATATTAAATTACATTATTTTAATAAAAATGTTAATGACTTTTGCACTTCTTTAGAATAATTCATAATTAAAATATCTAATTTAATTTATTTTTTTGAAATTATTTAAAATATTATTTTTTCATTTAACATTTATTTCGGGATTCAATAAATTTTGATTGTTTGTATTATGCATTATGAAAGTTGAATTACAATTTTATCTCTATGTTAGTTAAAAAAAGTTATAAAACATCACACACACACACACATAAGTGAGAAGCTCCAAAGTAAAAGGTTGAATTACCATTTGGCCCCTATACTAAATTCAAATGTTATTAAATATATCATTAATTAAACAGTAAATAGTAGAATTTCTATGGTATTTTTAGTTGGTATACATGTGAGTAAATTAAATAGAATTTTTTTTATCCCTTTAAATAGATACATGTATATGGTTTATCTTCTAAATTAATTTGTGTTCTTAATTAATATTTGTCTTTAATTTTTGTAACACTTGATCTTTCAACTTTGTCAGTGAATCTTCATATTTCAAAGGTATATTTTTTCCTATAAATACAAATCTTTTAACATTATTTTCATAGAAAGATTTATATGATACAATTTTTGTGTGTGGAAGACTAGAGAAGGTTTAACCAAGTGAAGAAAAAGGCAAGAGGATTTGTGTCAAGAATACAAGGTGTAATGTGATTATAGGGATAAATAACACTTTAATTACTAGAATATCGAAGCTTGATCTATTTGTTTTTTTACTTATTTGTCGAGATCAGAACTATGATAAGACCACTCCATTTATGTAGTTGAATATCACTTCCATTAACTTGTCTTCCAAAGATTTTAACTTTTTTTATGGTCAAAAGTTGAATATTTATTACTATAACTTTGTTTCGATTTGCATTATCAACAAAAAACAGGGAAAAGATTGTCTCAGAATTTTTCTATTTTTCGCCGGTAGTCTTGTGCTAAACTAACTCTTACATATGATACATTTTCTTTGTATTTGTAATTTTGTTTTAAGAATATATTTGATTGATGGGTGTATTTTTTTACTTTAGAAAATGAGACAAATACAATCATAAAAATAGTGTATAAGGCATATAAAACAATTAATGCCTACAAAATATTCTAATTTCAAATTATCAATAATTACATTTTTGCATCTTAAATTTTAAATATTTGTAAAGAATCATTCTTACATGTGCTTGTGGATAAATTCTATAATTTTTAGACAATTTTCATTAAAACTATCATGAGATTCAAATCCCAAAGTAAAAAAAATGATACACCAAAATGCTTAAGATGTTAGAAGATCTTTTATCCTTTGATCAAATATTGCTCCTATTAATTTTTTAACCAAAAAAACATAAAATATATTTTAAGAAACTTTTAATTCTAAGAATACTATATTGTCATTTTGACTCTCCATTACATTAAAATTTGATTATTTAATTAAATATTAATATTTTATTTGTACAATTACATAATTTAAATACCTTCAAATAAGTTTCTTATTTATAAATTTGAATTACTTAATTGCATTCTACTTAATGAGAAGAGAATTTCAGCTTTTACTAATTAATGTCAAACATTTTATCTTCTTGAAACGTATATCCTGTGTAAATATTAATTTAATTTCAACATTTTTACTCTATCTATGAGACAAGAGAGACATTTTAAGGAAGAATTTCAATATTTTTACTCTATTCTATGAGACAATTTTTTTTTAAGGAAGTTAATTATAAAATAATGTGCCTCCATGTTTGTTTTTGCATCAATATTTTATCTTTTAAAACAAATATAAAATTTCTATATCAAATTATAATAAAGGGAGGACTAAATGCAAAAAAAATCTTCAAGGTAGTTATACACTACAAACATTTTTTTAAAAATTAAATTGTGCATTGCCCTTTTATTAATAAGTTTATACACAAAATGTTTGTCATTTTACTTTTCATATTTTTATTGTAACTCAAATATTATTTTTCAAAAAATTATGTGATTTTTTAATAATTCATATTCATCGTATGAATTAAACGTGCAACGCTCGTGTCCATATACTAGTAGAATCAAAAGACCAAGCCAGTAAGTTAAAATAATGTGAAGAAAAAGAAGAAGAAAAAACTGTTCTAACTGCCAAAAGTGTAACAAGAACTTCACATATAAGATCATTTTTATTTTCCTCTTAAGGATTAGCTTTGCTACATGAACAAAATAGTACATTTATAAGATTCAAAAAATAAAAGAAATAACAAAACTCATATAAATTCTTGTTCACTACTTATATTACATTCAAGCCCATCAGTTCTTTCTTGTTCTGCAATTTGCATGAGCATCTCAAGGCGCTTGTCAAAAAGCAATGCACTCTCATCTCTCTCATCGAGTTCGGCAGCTTCAGCTTCGAGCCATTTCTCTCGCAGATCATCCAAAACGTTTCCTTCAGCTGTGCTGCCCATCTCAGCTCCTGGAGCACTTGGGGCAGTTGTACGAAGTGCAGAATCACCAGATGGTGGTGGGAGGGTCAAAAGCATTGCCCTAAACTCTTGGGTATCCGCAAACGTCTCAAAGTTACATGCCATTGCGTCTAGACAATACTCCCGAATCTTTATAACACCATACCTAAAAGTATAAACCGAAGAACTTAGCTTTATTAAGCAAAAATACAATGGATAGACACCTTAATTTATGCCCTTTTTTGCCATAAATTAACTCTTACAAGTTTGGGAGCAGTTACAATAATGTTGTTCATAGGTCTTGATGCATATTACATTTAAACTCTTGCTCTTCTAGATAGATAGTAAGAGATGTTCAATGACAGGACTATTCACACAAAGTCAAACTTACACATAGGAATTTTAGCTTTAAGTTTAAACATCCAAACAGACTGATTAGAAGATGGTGATAATCCATAACCAAAGAGATCAAAAAATTTCCTAGATGTTGGTATACACTTGCAAAGGAATGTGAATACAATTTAGGCATATTGGTATATAAAGAAGGAATATGACTAAAGAAGACAGATATCACATACATGTCCGACAATACCAGCCAATGGCACAACTCAGCAGGAGAAACCATTTCCAAATGTGGCAGCAGTGCATCTGCTACGACACGTTTAAGGGGAAACAACAGGTACCTTGAAGCAGCATCAAACATTTCTTCAGCCTGGTAAAGAGATTACATGCATCATAAATTAAACTATCTGAGCAATCAATGCAGAAGAGAAAAAGACAGCTAATTATGGCAACTATTCTATGACTAGAAATTCAAACAACATACTTGATCAGGGTCAATGTCCTTCAACCCATCAGTATACCTGTTTAACATAATATGATCTTGTTAGCAAGAGGTTGCAAGATGAAACAACTGAAATAAGCACAGCTGAAAGCCAAGTCACATGTCATTTGAGTCACACCAAGCGAGTTTGTTAAGGAGGGGTAACTGAGTCATACTGGTGATCAATTAAATGTACAATCACATAAATGTTGTTGATGATGCAGACACATACTGAAATACAGCAGAGTAACTCCATCTATTAATTAGTTTATTTTATATGGGAAGGGGGGGGGGGGGGTAAAAAAAGAAGCTTTTCAATGAAAAACAAAAAAGAAATGCGAAAAAGATGACTTACATATACTCTATCATCTTCTTAAAAGCTCCAACAGTCAAATCATGTTCCTCAATGCATGGAAGTGCATTATCAGGTAAACAATCTCTCCCTTCAAGAAAATCCTTCATGCGTGACAACCTCGCTTTAAAATATTCAGACCTTGATGCTAAGATCACTTGATGGCAACGAAAGATCTTCTTATCAACTCTAACACAAACATCTGCAAGATCATCTTCAAACTCACTGATCTGCATTGAACTGACAAGACATATAAGACCATCTACATCGTGATTCAAGTTCTGTTCGCTGTTGGAATTAACAAGAGCAATTTGAAGAATTTTATGCAAAGCATTTGGAAGACGGTCTTCTTCTGGGAGAGAGATTCCCTGCAAGATGAACCGCTTTTGGGAGTTATCTACGTCCCTTAGTGCTTTGTATTCGGCATATTTTTGATGAATCAACTCTTTCTCAAGGACTTTTTGTAGTGACAGGCATTTGCAAACTTTGCAAATTCTAACAAGATCTTCCATGTCATCTACTGCTATATCAAGCCTGTCGGAATAAAAGAAGTGGATGAGGCTATAAAGAGCATGATAAGAGAGCTTTTCCTTAGAGAATCGTACTTCCTTTCTATCCTTCCACTCAGTCTGAAATTTCTGTTCGAAGAAAGGCGACCGTGCAGTCAAGATTACTCTGTGAGCTTCAATAGGCCTACCCTGCACGTAGAATACAACATCCGGAGGAAAGTCGCTGGGGCTGGATCCTCCATTTTCTGAATTACCTATTAATTATCCCAGACCACCATGTCATTTTTGAGTGCATGAAGACAATCTGGACAAAGAATCAGAAAGTGTGATATATGCATACAGCTAAAGAACCAAAGTACTAGTACAGCCACAGTTTCCAAATCTAAAGGAATCTGAGAAACAGAATATCCAGTGAATCCAAGAAAAAAACTACTGACTCATGTAAAAAAACAGTAAGCAATAATGATGGAATCAGATTCAAAAAAAAGTCATGACTTCACTATCACTGGAAGCTTTATCAAGTACAGTCTATCCAGCAATATATTCATACAACACAAAAGGCTTCAAAGGCCTATAGTGAGAGCGGAAGTCATTCACAAAAGGCTGACTGATCGATCAGGTTC